GGGGTAGCTTTGTGTATTTAAAATTAATAAAGTGTGTGTGTGTGTGTGTGTGTGTGTGTGTGTGTGGTTTCCTTAGATCTTATCACTAGAGAGTCGGAAAGAGTTGCTGGTATTGAAGCTAGAAGAAGCAGAAAAAGAGGCAGAATTGCACCTTACTTACCTCAAGTAAGTACCTTCCCATTCTAGAATTTTAATGAACCTGCAGTTTTCTGTTTTGTGTTGTTGTTGTTTAGGTTTGAGACCCTAAGCCAGCTAGTCTGGCACTTATTCTAGTTTCACAGGAATTTCCAGGTCATCTCTGTGCAGTAGTAGTTGTTCAGTGAATTTTCTTCCTATAGTCTAAACTTCCTCATTCTCTAACTTCCTTTCTACAGTTTTATAGTTTTGTATTTTCTATTGTATTATCTCCAGTTTTATAAACAGTATCTTTTATGCTGTCAAAGCATAACAAATATCTTTGGAGATACAGTCATGATATAGTCATTTCTCCTCCTTTTGCCATGGAATCTGGAGGGCCCTGTGGCATTATCAGGCAGACAAGAACCCTCTCTCTGTGGTTGGTCCTATTTCCCCAATACTTGGCCTATTTCCCCAATACGATGCTGGAGTTGAAGTGAAGCAAACGACCTAGATCCTTGGCCTTCTCTTGCATTTGTTTCAGCTTCTTCTCCCAGGCCCATTAGTCAGCTACTGCATTGCTATCTCAGAGATTTAGGAGTTAGTCTCTCTTTAATTCTGTAAACTCCTGTTGGTTTCTTGAAAGGTCAACTCCTCCAACACTAGAGACAGTTCGTTCCAAACAGGAATGGGAGACAAGACTGAATGGAGTTCGGATGATGAAAAAGAATGTTCGGGTAAGTTTACTAATGGGTGATCATTGAGTCTGAGTGAACCTGTGCTTAAACACTTCTGGTGATAGGAAGAGACCTTTGGCATTGCCGCTTTGGGCCTGTTCTACCACTCCCTTTGTTTTCTTCATATTGGATGGTGATCTCTTTCTGGAAAGGCTCACTCAGCTCAGCAGTAAAGGATAATCCTTTCCTTTCTTTATTTTCAAGGACCAATTTAATAGTCATATCCAGCTAGTGAGGAACGGAGCCAAGCTGAGCAGCCTTCCTCAGATACCTACTCCCACTTTGCCTCCACCCCCATCAGAGGTAAGAGTGCTGGTTTTGAGGAGTCAGCCTTTCTGTGTTGGTGGAAGAACCAGAGTCTTTCACTTGTTCTTTGTAAGGAGATACTGGTTTTACTCTTATATTATTATTGGTTGTCAGTATTATTTGGTGTAAAAGTTGCTTATTGATTTCTGCCCCAGTTTCCTAAACTTTCATTTTCTTCCTTTCTCTCTTGTCCTCCACCTCTTCCCCTCTACAGACAGACTTCATGCTTCAGGTGTTTCAACCCAGTCCCTCTCTGGCTCCTCGGATGCCCTTCTCCATTGGGCAGGTCACAATGCCCATGGTTATGCCCAGTGCAGATCCCCGTTCCTTGTCTTTCCCAATCCTGAACCCTGCCCTTTCCCAGCCCAACCAGCCTTCACCACCCCTTCCTGGCTCCCATGGGAGAAATAGCCCTGGCTTGGGTTCCCTTGTTGTCCCCCATGGTCCACACATACCACCTGCTGCCTCCATCCCGCCTCCCCCAGGCTTGGGTGGTGTTAAGGCTTCTACTGAAACTCCCCGGCCCCAACCAGTAGATAAACTGGAGAAGATTCTGGAAAAGCTGCTGACTCGGTTCCCACAATGCAATAAGTAAGTATCTTTAAGAACTAATTTAAAGAAATTTATCAGGGGAAAGTTCATAGGCTAAAATAGGGGAGGTTTCATGGATATTCCCCATGAGTATAGCATAAAATCTCTCCCCCCTTCTTTTTTAGGGCCCAGATGACCAACATTCTTCAGCAAATCAAGACGGCACGTACCACCATGGCAGGCCTGACCATGGAGGAACTGATCCAGTTGGTAGCTGCACGACTGGCAGAACATGAGCGAGTAGCAGCAAGTACTCAGGTGAGACAAGCTACCTGGGGAGAACTCAGACCTGCTGAGATGTTGGGGAAGAGCTAGATTTCAGAAAAATTTGAGGTGGGAAGCAGCACTGCAGCCAGGGGTATTGAGTCTGCTTTCTTCCTTTACTGGACTGGGAACTAGATGACTTCTTTTGTTATATGCTCTGGTACTCAAATTCTTTTCTTACTCTGACAATGTTTCTGCCCACAGCCACTTGGTCGGATCCGGGCCTTGTTCCCTGCTCCACTGGCCCAAATCAGTACCCCAGTGTTCTTGCCTTCTGCCCAAGTTTCGTATCCTGGAAGGTCTTCACATGTAAGACTCTTTTTCTTTGAAAAGTAGGATGTGGGGCTGGGTGGTCAGTGAGGAGGGAGCGGGTTTATTGATGGAGTGCAGGAAGAAACCATTATCTTATCAGCTGGGTTGTCGGTAGCCCCAACTGGGAAAATGCAAGTGCTTTCGGCAGGAGTCTGTATTTGAACTTTTATTTGTTCTGGTGTAAAATCTTGTTGCTGTATAGGTAGAATCATGGGCATAAAAAGCAAGGAGATACAGAGGTTTCTAACTCTTCTGACTGTCCCTCCTCTGTTCTGTAGGTTCCAGCCACCTGTAAGCTGTGTCTCATGTGCCAGAAACTTGTCCAGCCCAGTGAGCTGCATCCCATGGCTTGTAGCCATGTGTTGCATAAGGAGGTGGGTGCTACATACCATCCTCATTCCCCACTCTTTCTCTTCTCACGACTGAGATAATTTAACTTTCCTTGGACGTTTTAGTGTTGATGCTCATCATAAATATCTAGACATAAGGTTTTCAGTAAAGTGTGGCATAAACATCAGCAGAATTCAGAATGATGGCAGCTAGGATCTCCCACTTCCTTTTACCCTATTCCTTTTAAGGGACTGGATAAGCAGTTCACACTATAGAAGTTCATACTAGAGCACTTTCTTGAAAAATTGACAATAAGATACACACATCTAACTGTTGTTTCAAATATAACATTGTCAGGAGACTTTGCTTAGGTGAGAGGAATGGAGTAGGGAACCTGAATATGAGATTAGTAACTCCATTAATAGACTAGCTTGAAGGCTTGCCTATTAGAGATGATGTTCCCAAACTGATTAATTATTCCCATCTCTTATTATGTTACCAGGCAGACTTAAGTCTCTTAGCAGCAGGGATGATTCCTTTTTTACTACAGTAATACCTTGGTTTGCGAACATAATTCGTTCTGGAAACAAACTACTTGTATTGCAAGACATCGCTTGTTTACCATGTTAAAATGTTATTAGAAATGTTTGCTCTTCTTGCGGAACACTCTCAAACCATCTTACTCGCAATCCAAGGTTTTACTGTATTTTATTTTGTTCATTTTGTTTTTCCAAGAAGTAGAAACTGAATTTACACCTAAATTATTGGTAAGGGAAAATCCTGATTAAGATTTGAGGGTGATGGGTATTACCAGATGGAAGCTCATCTCACCCTAAACAGAGCATAAGAAAGAACAAGCCTAGATAGTAAGCAAAAAGAGCTTCACACTATTCTTAGCTGATTGTTAGTGTTCCCTTTGAAAAGAACAGGCTTATCTGCTCTGAAGACTTTTTGAGGGGTAAGAGCCAATGAAATAGCCCTTCTAGTTCCCCACAGAGAGAGCTCTTCTGACTTAGCAAACATCCCTTAGACCTGTTGAACCTTAATGGCTCTCCTTCTCCTCCTTCCTCCATCTTTCCAGATAAACATGAGGTATGTCTTTCTTTCTTTCTAGTGTATCAAATTCTGGGCCCAGACCAACACAAATGACACTTGTCCCTTTTGTCCAACTCTTAAATGACGGACCTGACTGGGGAGGAAGAAGAGGAGAAACTGATGTGAACAGGAAGCGCGGGTTCAAGATTTCTAAAACTCTATATTTATACAGTGACATATACTCATGACATGTACATTTTTATTATATAGGTAATGTGTGTATAGAAAGTCTGTATTCAAATGTTCGTAAATGAAAGTATGTATATTATGCTGAAATGTCCCCTTCACCTTGCAGTTCCGTTGAGGGATGCAGATTGTGGCTAAGATGACGTTTAGTTTGGCCTTGAAATTATGATATTCTTGCCTAGGGCTGTTTTCAAATACAATATAAAAACCATCTAGGAAGCTGCTGTTGCTCTAAGGCCATCCTGCTTTGATTTGGCTTAACTGCTAGTCCATTTTCTTAAGGCTCATGTATGCAGATTTGAACCCTGGTGCTCACCCGCTGTCCAACCAGATGCCTTGCTTACTGAAAGCCTCTAGAAGCCTCAGTGATGTTCTAGCGACTCTACTCCAAATGGATAAAATGAGACTGATTGAGGGGAAAAAAAAAATGTAGCCCTAATAGTTTGACTTTTCATTGAATATTTTACTGTGTTAACGCTCTTATTTGTACATAGACTAGGTTTACAGAATATTCTGTTTTACATCAGCAAAATTCACAGTCCAAGAATAACAACATAACCAGGTCACATTTCCTCCACACCCCCACAAACTTCTGTCCACCCTACTTCCTAGATAGTCATCTCTTTAGAAACTAGCACAGTCTACAGGTCTTCCTGGACCAAGCCATCCCTTGCCACCACTGACTTGGCCAACCTTGTGAAGTTCTTACCTCTTCCCTTCACTTCTGGTCTCCTAGTCTAACTAACCCCCTCCCCACTGAAGGTTAAGGCAGTTGGTTCACAACCAAGTTGTTTGGTGACCTTGGGTGAGCCCCAGGCAGGCACTGGGGGTGAGGCAATGTCTGTGCAAAATTACTTTCAGAATGATCTTGGGATGCTGGGTTTTAATTTTTGAAGCAAGAAAGCTATGAGGGACATTTTCTGTCCTGGGAAAAATGGAGACCAAAGTGATGTGAGGAAGGGAGGTTGGGTTTCAGATTTGTAAGTCATTTCTTCTATGGATAGCTGTCTGGAACTAGATCGTTTTTCCACCTCTGCTTTTTGAACACATCTGGTTCTTAGGTTTATACCTGGGAGAGCTGTGCATCCATTAGAGCTTTGAGTCTTTTCCTATCCTTTTATCTTTCCTCCTACCAGAAATGGCATCAGCACCCTTCTCTTTTGGAATTAAAGTAAAAACTAAGGGTTAAATTTAAAAAAAATTAGCTCCAGGGGAAGGACATTATTACATTACCAACAACTGAATTTTCCTCATTCTGGGACCTGGAAATGCTTACTGGCACTAGCAATACATATCAGGGTAGCAAAGACTTTTCCTTTAAGATCCATCTAAATCCTCTCCTGTCTGTTTTTATTACTCTTTTCCTTCTTTGTCTTTCATCCTTGCCTCTCAGCTCATGGACATGTTTTTTCTCCTCTCTTGCCTTACTTGCCCAGGTTTATTGACTGGCATCAGTGTAAGGAGTTGAGTTTCCCAGGACCTCCTTGGCATCTTGTAGGGTGATTGAAATGGCCTCAGTATACTCCCCTCTAGAGAGGTCAGATGACTCACTTGCTTCGATTAATGAAATATTAATATCTCCCGTTTGGTAGCTGTCATGATCAGGGAATGTGGCAAAGTGGAAGACCAGTTCCTTTGTTCTTTTCATTTGAGGGTTTGGGGGGGATTCATTTTTTATCTCATAATCTTAAGATTTTATTTTCCCTCAACTTTGCAGCAGCCCTTGGGCCACCTGCAGTACTTTTCAGTATCTCTTGAAAATTTAGAAATTAGAAATGAATATAAAGAATATTCTGTTTACTTTCCACAAATCTTTGAACCAAAGGAGTAGAGTGAAAAGGGAGGGAATAAGTAGGGGTGCTTAACTGCTTCCTAGTAAAAGCCCTTGAAAGCCAACTGTAGCAGGAGGACAAGTGTTTTGGGGAGTTGTGCTTGGGAGCTGGGGCTTTATTGTTGCTCTTTTTCTTATTCAGGATCTTGATCAGAAAACAACACTGAAGTTTTGGCTACCTTTGTTCTCCCTGTTCCTTCTGCCCACTGGCCTGCACTGGTAAAAGCCATACAGGCCAATGGGAAAGGCCCTTAATGCAGTGAGTGGAGATGGGACAGTCATTTTTTTGGGGTAGTATTTAAAAATAGAGACATGTAATACATACTTTTACAAGCAAGAAGCTTTTGTCAAGATTTTTTTTTTCCATTTAGAGTTTATAGTTTCAGGGTAGAAACGAAGTAACTGTAAAAAGAAAAATAAGCACAAATTTTCTCCTAAAAGAAAATGTGATATTGGAACTTACTAATGAAGGGGCTGGGTTTTATGCCCTGGGAAGAGCTGGGGGAAAGGCAGTTTTCCGCATCATGGATAAAAATTATAAAGCAGAATGTGGCATTTTCATTTTACGGTAGCAATTCTGGAAGTTTATTTACACAGAAAGTTCCAAGCTGGAAGTGGACAGTCTCCAGTCTTCCTGTCAGTCTTTGTGGTTATGGGGTGTTCCCAGTCAGCCAGAGCAGCACCAAGTGCCGGGAAATGAAGAGAATCCAGATCAAAAACTGTGACTCAATATTCTTGCTTTATTGGTTTATGGCTTGTGGGCAGCTGACTGAGGCCAGGATCTCCAGAGGCCCTCCTTGTATTTCCCTTTCCCTCATCAGGTAGTTCCACACTTGGCAGGTCCCATACCTGGAAACAGTGTGTTGACCACATAGGAAGAGGATCCAGTGGGTATACTAGGAAAATTCAGCTCTTCCCACTAACACTGGTATCGTAGTCACTGTGTTAGAACTGATTGGAAATGAACTTAGTCCCCAATACCTAGCCCAAGAACCAGTCTGGGTACCCAAGTACAATTAGGAGTGGGGAGTGGAGGCAGGACAGGAGAAAAAGGTGGCTTCCATTGAGGGACTCTTATGGTGAAGGAAGTAAGGAAGCCCTGAGGCTGCCATCCTTTCTCCAGGCAGCCTTGATACTGAAGGCGATAATGCTAGAACCAGGAAGCCCTGTGTTCCTGGCACTCTTGGTATAATACTTGTGCCACTGTGGAATGCCTTAGCCAAATAAGTGGAGGGGACATTAGAGAGGGTGAGAAAGCAGTGAAACTGCTCTGTATTATGTAAAGATCTTATACTACAGCCTAACAGCTGAACAAGAAGAAATCCAGGCAAAAGTATAGGGCATCACCCCTATACCTGTTGAAAGAATCTTCAGGATTCTGCTTTCAAGAATTAGGTAGGAGAGGTCCCTTGTCTATTCTTAGCACCTCAGCTGCAGAGCTACATAGGACTAGGGATTTAGAGGAGGGAGCGAAGATGTGTCCAGGAAGACGGAGCCCAGCCTTGCTCTATTTGCTGTATTCCAATTGCTTTCCCATAGGGAAACGGGGTTTGGAGGTGTTGGGATATTTTAATGCTGCCTAGCATAGGTAGAGCAAAGCATTCAGATGGAGACCAGTGGAATTAATCAGGTATTCATTTCTTAGATGGAATTTCTTAGTGGGCACTTCATATTTAAGAGCTAAAAAGAGCTTTTTGGCTAAATAAGTCCTTCTTCCCATCTCACTTTTGGTCAGGCTTCAACCACAGGAAAAAAAAAAAGAAAGAAAAAACATTGGGAAGCAGCGCCCCTCTTACCAGATGGGATTCTGTCTTGGAGATGAAGTCTAAAACGGGGATTGGCGAGTGGCCATGTTTCTGCCTTTCCTAGCTTTGATCCCCACTGTTGCCTGTCTTTGTACTCCCTCTCCCCCTCCTCTTCCAACTGCCCCATGTGTACAAATACTCAGTCTGATTATTTTCTGTTTAATTCAAGAGGCAATCTTTGCACCACTGTCAGCCTTGTTGGTATAGTTCCTATCTCTGAAGCCAATAGCAAACCGACTTTGGCCAACAGGGAACAAGATGGGCCCTTCCTCTGCCTGGGTGCTCTAGAGACACACAACTGGGGGAACCTGGGCGTGGTGCCATCACTTCTGGAAAAAGAAGAATGCTTTGGGTTGGAGAATTGAGGGGGATGGTGGGCAAAGGTTCAGGGCTGAAGTTTCAAGCAGCAGAATTTGCCAACTCAAGTTTGAGGTGACCAAGAGTATTCCCACCACCAGAGCGTTTCTTTCTCCTCTCTCCTGTTTCCTACAGGTGTAATCCCTGTAACCCACCTTGCCAGATTTTAGTTCTCTGTCAAGGCAGAGGCATTTGGTGGGTGGGTGAGGGTCCTGAGGTGCCCTGGCCACAGGTGCCATCTGTGTCTCCTTGTGACCAAAGTGAACCAGCCAGATGTGGTCCCGGGGAATCTCTGTCTTCTCCCCATGGGCCTCCTCACTTCAGCAGGGAGATGTCGTCAGCAAAGTCATCATGCTGATGGCGCAGACAGCGGAGGCAGCGCCACTGACACACCATGAGGCAGAGTGGCAGCATGAAGAGGGCGCAGATGGCCGCCATGACATAGGCTATGGTCATGAGCGTTGATTCATCCGTCTGTGGAATGTTGTAGCCACAGTCTTCCATGTCCGGGGTGACAAAGGGGCCTTCCACCGCTGCCGTCCTGAACTCATCATGCACTGGAGAAAGGGCAGGTCTCAGTGTCATACAGGAGTTTGGGGAATACAACACAACTTCCTGACAGGCCTTGAAATAATCCCCTGAGGAGGCTGTGGGAAGCCAGTGCTAGGTGGAGACATGTCTGTCCTCCCAGGTCACTGGGAGCAACAGCCTTTCCTGTATACCTAGTATTTATTAATAGTAGGAATGATACCTAAAAGTCAGTTCTGAGTTGACTAAAAAGCCAGCCCTATATACACATAGTAAACTCACCTGTCACTGATGAAATCCAGTTGTAAGACCCTGCTACCATTCTGAAGTAGCATTCAACCTCCCCATACAGCAGCTGTCAGGGTCACTATAGGCTCAGCCTGCTGCACTGGGATCTAGAGCTTCCCAAGGTGCTGAACAGCACTTGCCACTCGGGGTCTCCAGCAGAGGTGGCAGGGGTCACCAAGCCAGGCAATTCAACAAAAGCACAAGCACTGACACTAGCTCTTGCACAATATGTTGACTGACTCGAGGAAACTGTCACTACCTCCTAGACTGACGGGTCCAGGTATCCTGACTGCTAGACAGGGAGAAGATGGATAGACTGACCCCACACCCTGGCGCTCTCACCATGGCAAGCACTGACAGCAAAGCCAATTCGTTTGTGGGCTCGATCAAAGACAACGTAGAAGCCCTCCATGATAACAGCTCCCATAACAGTGCCCGTGGATGACTGTGAGATGGCAAACTTGTAGCAGTCGTCTTGGGACGTGGCCACGTCTTCCACTGGCCGCAGGTATTGCTAAGGATAAGGAATCAAAGAGTGAGAGGACGTCTTCCTCTCTTCCTCACTCCATCCTTAACCTCATCTCTGCCTTCTAGGTATCTATGCCCTTAGGCCACTCTTCCCTTTGTTATCACTGAACTCTGAAGGGTTGGTTTTTCCAAGAGCCCTTTACCACTGGATACTTAGCTGTTTTGTCTTCCAAGTTCTGGGAAGCCATGCCTGCTGACTATCTTCCTATATGTACTTTGTCCTTTTCCTGGGGTCCCACTGACTCAGGGTAGGGACATACCTGTGGGAGAATGGTGATGCGGAAGGACTGATTGGTAACTTCACCCATTAGGTAGAGTGAGATGACTGGGAAAATGTTCCAAGGGGTTGTGCCTGCTTGCCAGCACACCAGCTGTTCCCCAAGCCAGAAGCCGTCTGGGAATTTCTCCGTCTGTTGGTAAAGAAAGAGAAAACAATGAGGAGACGGCCTCTTTCACCTCACCTCTCCCATTTTCAGATAACATTTACTGAGCCCTTTTATTTGCTTTTCCATGGTATATCCAAAGTGGGGAAAGGTGAACTGAAACCCAAGAATTAGAGGAGGAGAGCGGGAGAGTGAGGCCAAAGCTTTACACCTGGGGGGTGGGGGTGGGGGTTGGTTGTATGATGAGCAAACAGGTCCATGAAAGAGAAGTTTTTAAGAGCTCTAAGTAGAAGGGTCTAAGGGTAGACTTCTTGGCTCTTTTTGAAGAATATGACTTTCATGGACTTCCTCTGACTCTGTGTCATCTCTGTACCCCTGTCCTTATTCCAACTGACCGAGGAGGCTGCTTTGATGGATTTGACTGCAGCTTCAAACACTTTCTTGGGCAAACGAAGGTTCGTGGTGCCACTGTCCACGATGCTCTTGTCATAGTTGTACTAAGAGGGAGAAGAGAGGGTTAGAATCATCAGGACCCTTTTCTGATGCTCTGGCCAGAGTCGGAGGGGTGAGTCTGACTGTGTGGGGTCCTGCCTGAGTTGGCATCCTGGCTTTGCCACTTCTTAGGTGTATATCCTCGGGCAAGTTACTTAACGTTGGTGCCTCAGTCTCCTCATCTTTGTGTTTTGTGTTTTTTTTAAAGATTTTTATTGGGGAATTGGGGGGATAGGAACAGTGCTGGGGAATTGGGGGAAGGGGAACAGACAAATTGCTGTCGTTTTGTTCTTCAGTCTAGTTGTGGAGGATGTTGCTTCACTGGCCCAAGTTGGCACCATCATTGCGCTCTTCCCGGGCGAGGCAGATCAGTCGCCGGCTTCTGGACGGTTGTTCACGGCAGCTGCTGGCCGCTCACGCTGGCTGCTGGCTACATACGGTAGCCCATGGCAACCCTCTGTCACAGGGGCTGCAGCCTACGCCGTCGCTGGTGACTCACGGCAGCCCAGCTCCAGGTTGAGCTGTTGTTCAGCATCTTAGCTGTGGAGGGCAGTGTCACTGGCCCTCATATGTGGGATCCGAACTGGGGCCCTCTGGCGTCCCAAGCCAGTTATTAACCATCGCGCCACTCAGCCGGCCCTCCTCATCTTTAAAATGGGGATTATAATAGTACCTACCTCAAAGAGTTATAAGGATTAAATAAATTAATACATTTGAAGTGCTTAGAATGGTGCCTTGCACACAGGAAGCATTCAGTAAATATTAACTAATTATCTTGGGTTGTCAGACATTCTCCAAATCTTGAAAATAAAAAGGTCTTGTATAGTGGTTTTATATCTATTCTAATTTAGCATACATTAAGAATCTAGGTAAGGAAGACCCAGATGGTTTAGCTGCCATTTATTGGGTACTGTTATGTGCCAGGCATTAGGATAAACACTTCATTTTCTTTATCTTCACCACAATCATTTGAAAGCTGTTTTTTACCTCTGTTTTGCAGATGAGGAAACTGAAGCACAACATAGTAACTTGCCTAAGGGCAGAAGCTAGCTAGTACATGGCAGAGCTAGAAACCCAGGTCTTCCAGACTCCAAAGCCCGACTCTTAGACTGCACCATATCATACTGCCTTGCAAAGAGTTTGCCCAAGGCCATAAAGCGAGGCAGTGACTAGGGTGCAGACATGTTTTTTCCATTACTAGACCATAAACCATGCGGTCCCTGTGAAAGTCCTTAGCTCCAAACCCCGGGTCCTGCTTTGTGACCCTTCTGTTCCTGACTGTTGTAGGCTCAGCCCCAACCTTTTGCACAGGTCCTGCACCTCTGCCTTGTCCACCCAATCTTGTAACCCAGGGTCTGACCTCACACCGTGTTGCCTTCCCACTTACTCCTCCTGGTTCCCCGTTGGTTTTATTACCTCCTTGCAGTCCATTTTCAGATCCTGTCCATTGATCTCTACCCGCACAATGATCACCTCATAATACCACTCCCGACGGATGGGTGTGTACCAGAGGCTGCCCGTGTACAGCGAGGGGTCGATACCCCCAATGATCTAGGGAGAAAAAGAGGCAGGCGCCCGAGTCCCAGCACAGGACAGCAAGTCACCCAGAGAGCAAGAAATAGGACCAGTAATTTCTGGGGATGGCAAGGCCCTCTATAGATCACCTTTCTCATTTTCCTGCATCTAATCAAGTCATGCCCCAAGTGACTTAACAGTTTTTAAAAGTATTAAGAATGTGTTCAAGGGAAGAGACTTTCCAGGATTTTTTTTTTTTTTTTTTTGCTGAGCCATCCTGCTACCTATTGGCAGCTCAGCGGCTGCTCAGCTTGGGTTGGACTCGAACCGCTGTTGCTCAGAGCTCAAACTCTTGAGCGAGCTCTTAACCAACTGAGCCACTCGGCCGGCCCTCCAGGATTTTTAATTATTTGTTTTTAGAATCACGCAGTCCTTGATATGAAGTTACTTAAACCTAAACTGGCACAATAAGTGTTAAATGATGATTATTTGCTTCTATTATAAATTTTATTTTCTCTGCTTGTTGGAGTTGGAGAACCATTCACCAGTTGTCCTAATTAATTAATAAATAGACTTTTAAACTCCTTATATCTCAGCCTTCTGATCATCAGACTGAATAATTTTAATTCAACAGATCATATTTTCATTTCCTTTGAAATTTTCCTAATCCTCTCTGATCTTTTCCAAGTTTACCATAAGTGCCTTGAATGCTTTCTGGAATAATGCAAGGAAGAAAAGGAAATGTGGGGGTTGGGGGGGTATAGAGATTCTAAATAGTGGAGCCCCAGCCTGTGGTGTAGCCTGAGAGGGAGGGGAGGCAGATGGTGCCCACGTCTCTGCCCGGTGCCAGGACGCTCCCTCCTAGGACCTACTCACCATGCTCCCTCCAACTGAGGCCAGCACCTCTGACTGGTTGAGGGGGAAGCCAGCACCACAGAGCTGCAGGGAAAAGAGGTTGGGAACGTGGGTCTGCTTTACCAGGGAGTCAAAGAAAGGCTCCAGGGAGTCGTCAGGCTGTGATGGAAAGAAACAAGGAGTGAATCCTCACACGGAGGCCCTGATGGACTGAGGCCAGCTTCCTGCCTCAACGGGAAGGCAAAATCAGACTTGGGGGACTTGCCTTGGGAAAGACCATCTTGAGGTACTGAGATTTGGCAGAGAGAGGGTTAGCAGGACACACTGGCAGTGAAAACAGGAGAGTATTGATGGGCCCACAGATCTATACGAGCTTTGATCCCCATGTGCCTAATCTGTTTCAGATTTATGGGGCCCTCTTATTCTTAAAGATCTTCGAGTTAGTAGAAACCACAACCTATCACAGTGTCTCTCACTGTAGTCCTGACCTTTGTAGGGATGAAGTTCAGACTGCAACCTTATCCCCTGAAGCTGATTTGTTTCTCTCCCTGAGTTCCCGCCCCTTCCCCAACTCCGTCCCTGTGTGGCACGCAGTGTGCAATGTGCAGACAGTGTCTAGGGCTAGGCCTTGCTCCACTCACCCTGGCGATCTCAGCATAGGCCAGCCCCAGGATGCCTTCCCAGTTGGAGCCATTGATGAAGAACTTGTCTGATTCAGTGATGGCAGCGATGTTGGCACGCACAGTGACATTGGGGCCATGGGGGATGCTCACCAGGTCGGTGCCCAGCTCCCCCTCCCACTTGCCCTGGGTGTAGGGCACATACACACCCTTCCGGAGGTCCCGGTATGTGCTGGACCTGTGGGAAAGGAGGCAGAGATCTGGTATAGGGACCCAGCATCAAAGTGACTCCCAAATGCCTCGCCTTATCGCAGGGGCATCCTGATAAATAAGATGCTTTCAGGCTGCTCAACAGAACCGGGGGGGATCAATCACCTGGAACAGAATGTAAAGTGACCTTGCAAACAGATGAGAGGAGCTATGGCTGGGGCTCGCTTCCGTGTCTCCACAGCTCATATTCCAAGATCTTGACCTCAGGCCCTACGAAGAACAAGCCTACGCTTTGTGTATTGTGCTTGTTACTGATGAAGGGACAGCTAAGCGGGCATCTCCCCCCCACACCACCACCACCACCCCACCCCCATCCCCATCAAACTCCCAGAGAAAAGGAGCCATTGACTCTCTTGCTGCCCTGGGACCCAGTGGTACCATCTGAGTGGCAGAGAAAGTGCCAGGCGGGGTGAATGTGGAACCTCTACAAATTCTTCCAGAGAAGGGATTTGCACAAGCATCTCAGCAGAGCACGTAGGTATTACACACCACACTTGTGTAAAACATGCTTATCAAGGTGTGACACCCTGACCTGGGCTTAATCAGGCCATTAACCAGGGCTTGTGTGTGTGGAACGGGGGACAGTGATGGGATTGGGACAAGGACCTAGAATGAATTCCTTTTCACTGACCCTGAGCATGCCCCACTCCCTGACTGCTTTCTCTAGATGGGAAATTAGAGGGGAGGCAGCCGTAGAAGGCAGGAATTGGGGAAGGTGGCTTTGGCATCTGCCTACAAGTCCAAGAATAATATTTAAGCCTCTACTCACATGTTTTCACACACAGAGATGCCTCAGAGATTAGATGTCCTTACACGCCACTTCCTGCTTTTCTGCTAATGGGACTCCCAGGTCAGCCCTCACTGCCTCTCTTACCTTAATAACCCACTTCAAATCTCCCTTCCACCAGTTAGCTAAATCCAGCTGCTGGAACTCTGGGTGGTGCAGGGAGGAGACATGCTAGCTTCCAGCCCCTGATACTGGCCCAGGCGGTGGGGGCTATGGAAGGCTCTTCTTCACTCCGTGACCTGTGCAAAGCCACCAAGAGTGGCCCCTGGGTGAGAACACAGCAAAGCGAGCTATCACTGCAGCCTGCTCAGTCTAGACTTAGTTGGTGGTGTCAGAAAACTGACAGCCACTGAGGGGAAGTGGGATGAAGTCCCCTTGCCTCCCCATTGAGGAGGAGAGAATGAGACCCCTGAGATAGTCTGGGAACTTTGGGGCTGCTCTCCTCCCTTCCCTCCCGCAGCAAGCTACCGGGTCTCACTACTGAAGAACTTCCGGGCTGCCCGTCCGCTTACCCTTTCCCACAGTACACCTCAAAGCCACCCCCACCCCACTCTTCTTTCCTGGTCACTGTTGCCTTCGGTTCCCTTCCTCTGTCCCCACAGGAAGAAAGGCTCTGAGGAGCTAGTCTTTCTCTCTGCAGCCCTCGCTTTCTCTCTGACCCTTCTTGGCCCTGGATCCTTGGGAAGGGTTCTTCCCTTTTCAGCTCTCCCCAGGACTCACAGCTGCCTCTGGTAGTAGCGATGCAGGAAAGGGTGGGGGGCAGCCCCCACTGCAAAGTTACTGCTCCCTGTGTCCACCAGGATGTTGAGCTGTCAGAGAAAGGGGAGAGAAAGATATTATCAACAGGAGGCTCTGGAGCCACCACCTCAGTGTCCTTCATCCCGCCAGCCACAGTCCCCCTTTGGAATGTCCAGGGTGAAGCGTCCATGAGGCAGGACTTGACAGGCCTGTCCAGTACCACGACTGCAGACAGAGCATGCGGTCCTATGGCGTCCTCTGCGTGGCCTCAGAAATCTTGTGTCTGGCTCTGTCTTCTCTGTAGAATCAGCATTTTCTATGTCATCAGAGCCATATTACGTGTGTGTGTGTGTGTGTGTGTGTGTGTTGTTTCCATCCCTCTCTATCTCTCCCCCTCAGGTTGCCTTTACTTACTTTGTGTACCTGTCTGATTCTGTCTTCAGAGCTTTCCCTCTCCCCTCCTTTTCTAGTTCTCCTAGGAAGCACCTCATTCAGCAGGCAGCCTGGCTTGTCCGCCTCCAGCCCAGAAAGGAGCTATTCTAGGAGCTGGCACTGGCGAGGGGAGTTGTGGGGACCATGATGGCACGTTGGTACCCACATGTGTCTGACCCTGCCTGCCAGAATGTGGCTCCTCATGAAGGACTTCCCTTCTGTCTCAGAGGTGACGTAGACCTGTCTGAGTCCTCCTGTAAGAAATGGTGGGGAGCCGGGAGCCCAGTCTGATGTCCCTTTCATCAGGGCCCTGGTTTGGGCTAGACGAATACGGACAGGTATCTTTGCTGTGTTCTTTCTGTGCAGCTCCTTCTAGCATCACTTCTCCTTGTCCCTCCTGTCTCCTTTGATGGCCTGACCCCTCCGTCAGTCAGTCCAGAGCCATTTTTGGAATGTCTAGTATATCTTCACAGGCAAAAAGTGGGAAAGCCCTGTCCTCAGAAATACGGCCATTTGTAAAGTGCGTCCTCTCTTGCAGACTTGCCATGTCCACCAACCTCAGCTTCTTCCCTGACCTCAGGGCCATTCACTTCTGTATCTTCTCTCGTTAGTGCAGTCAAATCAGCTGACCTCAGTTTGGGTCCAGCTCTGACCTTGTCACCTTGGGCAGGTCACCATGCTTCTCTGGGCTCCAATTTCCTCTTCTCTGCCAGCTCCTTCCGGATCTCAGTGGTCCTCTGTGCACTGCTGACCACACCTCTCCCAATACCTGCTCAGGCTTCCTGGCCTCCCCATGTCCCCAAAGACACCTCTGCACTGTCACACCGCTCTCTGCCCCTGCCCCCCCCCCCCCACTCCTGGCCTGCTTCCCTTCGCGCCCTCTTCCTGCACTTTTCCCTGTCCTCCCTGGTCACTGAGCAGCTACCAGCTTCAGATGCTGTGTTTTCAGAGAGAATCAATAAAACTGGAGGCACAGCCGTTCAGATATTAACCGGGTTAATGATTAAAAAGGCTTTTTCACCCACCCACTCCCCGGGACCTCCCTCCCCCACATGCCGGGACTCTGCTCCCAGCACCAGGTTGGCCTCTTACAGGCCGGGATGCCTGCTATCACAGGACCCCAAAGAAAGAGGGTCTCCTCCACAACATTGGTCCCCGGGGCTGTGCAAGGGAGAACTGTCTGGAATGTGTGCCTGGCCGGCTCTAGGAAAACATGACCACTTCTCACGCTGGAATGGAGCTTTCATCCGGGGGGCTCTAAGTCGCAGCTGCTCAGGCCCCACCTCCTCCCCACGCTTCTCCTCTCCTGCAGAGGGAGGGGCTCTCTGCACGCCATTCCCTCCCCAGCCAGGAGGCCCAGTTACTCTTGCGGCCCTTGCAGTCCCAGCCTTTCTCCTTGTTTAAGGAAGGTCGCCCCGTTTCACCTCAAAAGGGGTCTCAATGACCCCAGGGAGGAATGAACCCCTCCAGTCCCTGCCCACTCAGCCCCTACCGGGAATTCAGTCCCCCACTGCTCTCTGCCTCCCCCTCTCCACCCTCACAAGGCCATGGGAAACTAAGCAGTTGCGATTTCCTCTCCAGCAAATGTCCGACTGTCTGCCTGCCCTTTGCAGTGCGATCCTGCTTCTGAGGGAAGTGATTTCTGGTCCTGTCCTCCAACATTTCTAGTGTGAACTCCCTGGGTGGCCTCCCGCAGAGGCTTCTTACCGGGCAGGGGCCTTTGGCCAAGGAGCAGAGCGACCACACTCACCATGAAACAGGGCAGTTAAGGGCGGCCGGAAAAAGGGAAATAGTGGTGAAAAGGTTACATGCGGCCAAACCTTCTAAGCAGACACCCTCACCTCTAATTTCACCCGACAGAGGCTGTCAGATGGGACCTTCGTCATCTCCAACAACCAGCCATTGCAACCCGCCTGCAGCTACGAAGACCAGTCCTTTCTGTTAGCTGTCCCTCCCTCTGGCTCCAGAGCAGACTGCCACCTGGGCTTGGGAGCCAATTCCCTCCTCCCTTCTCAGGCACCCCACCCCATTAATTATCCCTGTGTCTCGGGTCCTTGAACCACCATGATGTTTTCTCCAGCCCAACTCCCACCCCCAAACCTGATCTTCCTATTGGCATTTACAAATGCTTGAGTCTATTCAATTTTTTTTTTAATTTTTAATCTCACATCCGCCTCCAGCTACCCGCTCTCCTCTCCCTTCACAGCCAAAGTCCTCAGCCAAGCTGTCTTCATTTCTTCACTTCCCACTCATTCCTCAACCCATTCTAAAACAGTTTTGCCTCTATTTCTCCCTCCACTATAAAACAGCCCTTACTACAATTACCAATGATTTCATGTCACCAAATACAAAAGACAGTTTTCAAATCAGGCCTCGTTTTTCTTGACTTCTCCAGAGCATTCAATGCTGCTGACTTCTCCTTCTTTGAAACACGCTTCCCTGCACCCCACCCCATGGTCACCCTCCTAACTCTCTGATCATATCTTCTCTATCTACTTTGCAGGCTCACTTCTCAAGGTTTGGGTTTGGTCCTCTTCCTCTCCTGCTGTACTGTCTCCCTAAATCATCTCACCCATGGTCGCAGCTGCAGTTATCACCTATATGCTGACGACTCCTAAGCTTATAACTCTAGCCCTTTGCTCTCCTTTGAGCTCCAGAAGCACATATGAATTGCCTCAATGATGCCTCAAATTCAGGATGTCCCAAACTGACCTTACGTGGTCTCTGCCCATCTTTCTTTCCTCAGTGTTCCCTATATTAGTGAATGGCATCACCATCTGTCTGTTCCGTAAGTCAGCAACTTCAAAGACTTCCTTCCTCTTCTTCACATTTCTATCCAATGCCTCAACAGGTCCTATTCAATGAACAATCGTAAGTCTCTTGAATGTGTTCATTTCTTGCCATCTCCCCTGCCACCCCTAGGCCAAGCTATCATAATTTCATCCTGGAATATGACAATAGCTTCTCAAGTGGTCATGGCATATCCACCACCCTTGACCTCTCCAATCTGTTTCTGCACTGTGGCTAGAGTGATTTTTTCCAAGTGCAAATTTGACCACGTTAACCCCCTCCAATGTCAATGGTTTCCCTTTGCTATGAAAATTAAAACTTGAAGTGTTACCATTTCCTACCACAGGGCCCTTCATGGTCCAGCCCCACCTACATATCCGGCCTAGCTTGTCCCATACTCCCTAAGCCCTCTGCCTACTAGCCACACTGGCCTGATTTCAGGCTCTCGAACCAGCCATTGACCCTCCACCCAAAGGCTGTTGCATTCATTCTTCTAGACCTTCTTTTTTTCCACTTGCAGTTTTGTCTACTCATCTCCTGTCATCCTTCAGTCCGAGCTCAAAAGAGACTTCCTAAGAGAGAAAGACCAGGGCATATTCTCTTGCTAAAATGCTTCCATAAAACTTGCCACTCTAATTTCACATTTATTCTTACCTTCCCTTGTATCTAATTTTTTTTTTAAAGATTTTTATTGGGGAATTGGGGGATGGGAACAGCGCTGGGGAATTGGGGGAAGGGGAAAAGAAAAGTTGCTGTCCTTTTGTTCTTCAGTCTAGTTGTGGAGGACGTTGCTTCACTGGCCCAAGTTGGCACCATCATTGCGCTCTTCCTGNTTATAGAGTAGCAATGAAAATAATTTTATGGTTGGGGGTCACCACAACATGAGGAACTGTATTAAGGGGTCGCGGCATTAGGAAGGTTGAGAACTGCTGCTCTAGACTATCCAAGTTATCCTCCACACTGAAGTTGTTCTAGAGCCCAGACAAGACCATTCCCTTTCTCATATGCTTACAAGGACTCTCTGCTGCCTCTAGAATAAAACCCAAACTCCACCCAGGCTCACAGCATCCAGACCACAACTTCCAGCTTCTTAGCATAGCTCATGCCTCTCTTCATGAAGCCTTCCTCACCACCATTCTCCAAATAGCAAAGCTTTCTCCTCTTTCTAGGCCATATGCAAATGCTACCCTTTCAAGCAAGCCTTCCCTAACACTCTATCAGAAGTAACCACTTCTTTCCAAGCACTTCTGAGACTCACTGTGTTTCTTTATGTTCCGAGTGCATTTGGTCTTGTGTGTTATTTAGGTGTTTAAATGTCTGTGAGCTCTCCAAGTGCTAAGATTACTATGATATTTTTGTCTTCCACACACGATAGGTGCTCAACAAATATTTGTTAAACTGAATCAACTATCACCAGGTTTCCATCCTAACAATGAAATTACTATCCTGTATTTGGATAGTGATGCTTATACCATTATAATGAAATAATATGCTTTTATTTAAGGAAAGAAAATAAAAAATACTTTCACCAAGAGCTCCACAAGAGCACTTACAATAGCCCATCAACATTCTATTTAGATGTCTTACAGTTTATTTATTCATTCACGCAACATTTTGTAGGTGCATGTTATTCTGAGCCTGATGTTGTCATAGATATTAAAGAGAAATAAGACACTGCAGGAAAATAAATTTAAAAATTTTTTAAAGACATTGTTCTCAAGAGCTTGACTTTTTATCAGGGAAACACACAAAAACATTTATAATACATTTGGATAAGTGTAATAAGGGTGATATGAGAAGGTGTCATGGGAGAATGGAAGAAGGATTTTCATGATAAACTCTTCTCCCCCAAGCCACACAAATAGGTGGCATGGTTTAGCAGGAAGAGCGATGGTGAGACAGGGCCTGCCACCTTGCCAACTGTTCACTTTTTCAGTTTCTGTGAATGATGAGTATATATATATATATATATATATATATATATATATATATATATATATATATATATATATGTATATATATAGAATTAATGGATGGTTAAAGGAAAGAAAAGGGGAAAGAGCTAATCTACCCTATATTTTGGGTGGGTGAGGAAGGGATCCTTCAATGACTCCCAAACTGTGGGAGTTTTTAGGTGTTAAGTGTGGCTCTATCTCAGACCTGCCTTCCTCTCACCAGGCTCCCTGGTTTGACACAGGATGTAAGTCTTCAGGTAGCCTGGAGTCCTGGAGCCGTCTTACTTTCCCCCTTCCCTTGGGGCCCTGCCAACTCAGGAGTCTCTGTAGCTATAGCCTTTAGATGCCCAGGGGACTGAAGCCTGTGGGTCAGGCCTAGGTCAGTGCCAATCACTTAACAAACAAACGTGCCCCTGGGGCCTCTAAGGGAAGGCAGCTTCATGGGAAGTGCTAACAAGCCCCATAGGGAGAGGCACACCTGCTCTTTCATTCGGTAGACCAGGCTCACCTGGGGGAGTCTTCAGATTAGATCTTGGGTGATGAGATAGGTATGGAACTGGTGAGTTTAGGGTGAACTGTTTGTTCCCTAAATCTTAACTCTACTAGCAGACAGTGACAGCTCAGATACTTCAGGACAAAAAGAACCTTCAGGAGTCATCTGTCCATTAGTCTGGAGAGATGGGGCCCTTTCCAATTCTGAAAGATCTCTAGTTGTTAAGATCTACAACCTTTCTTGGTCGTCTATCTCAGGGTCTTACCACTTTTGCAAGCCTCTGGGGAAGGGGCTTTAACTCTAATTCTTCCTACTTCTAATTTTCCTAGTCTATTTCCTTCTGTGTGGGCCTCAGAGTTGATGGGAGAAGAGCTCTTATACACGTGTGTAACAAGCCTTTTAGCCAAGCTGATATATAGACGCCTTTCTTCCATTTTACTGAAGAGGAAACTGAGGCCCAGAGTAAGCAATTTGAGCCATCTTACACAGCGAGCCACAAAGCCAGCACAAGGATCCAGTGGTTCTGACTAAGCCCAAGTCTGGTCTTTTATCTCCTTGACCTTCCTATCTCTCTCATTTGGAAAGGAAGTATATGGTAGATTGCTACACTGATGAATCACATCCCCTGTATCCATGCCCTTGTGTGATCCCCTCTTACACTGACTCCGGGCTTATCCACTTGACTTGCTTTGGCCAGTGGGACATAAGCAAAAAAGGTTTGATAAGTGCTTATGCATTTGGGGATTGCCCTTTTGGAATGCTGCCCTGAGATTGTATGTGAAGAAGCTCAGTCTTGCCTCCTTGAGGATGAAAGACCTCATGAGGAAAGAGGCAAACAGGCCCCACTTAGTCCGGCCCCCAGCTGACCCACCAGCTGAAGGCAGCCAAGCGAGTGAGCCCAGGGAGGACCTGTATAGAACCACAAGCCAACCCACAGAATCTCAAGAGAAAAGTTGGCTCTTGTCTTTAGCCACCAAGTTTTGGAGTAATTTGTTACACAGCACCAGATACCTGATACAAAGCTATCTGAATTACAGTAAATCCTGGGGTGGCATCTAACCAGGTCAACTCCTCTGAACATCTCTTGTCACTTTTCCCCTTGGTCACCAAGCTTCTTGTGAAGTTTCTCATAGTACAACGATGTCTCACCTCTGCACCTTTGCATATGCGGTTTCCTTTGCCTGAAATGTGCTCTCCCTGTTTTGTCTAACTTCTGTTCAACTTTCAAGTCACCGTTTAAACACCCTGAAGGTCTTGCCTTGATGCCCCCAGCCAAGTTAGATTCCTCCTCTTACAGATCCTCAATAGCACCTGCGCTTCTTTATATATCACTCATCAAACTTTTTAATAATTTATCTAATGCCTGTCTGTCCCACACTGTGAGCTCCACAAGGGTGGGAGCACATCTGTATCCTTATTATTAAATTCTCACCAAGCCCTCTGGAAGTGCTCCATAATGATATTTTTTAACTGACAGTAATCGCCTCATTTCCTGCAATTCTTTGTGCACTCCAGACCCTTGCTATGAATTCTCAGCCTCAGGGTCTTTGAAGGGGTGATTTTCAATCTGGTACTGTGCATGGTGACGATGACACCTGACACCCACCATCCCCATGCAAGCTGACAATATCCACCCAGGTTCTTAGAGCAGTCATACTGACTTCAGGGCTCCTTGCTCCCAGAGCCTTCCGAGCCAGCTTCACCTGCTTTTCTAAGTGATTTTCCCAGACCTGAACTTGCCCAGAGCTGAGAGAAGGGGGCCAGTAAGGACATGAGATGCCTAACGTCAGCAGCTGCGGGTACTGAGGGCCAGCAGGGCACATAGCTCCTGCCTCAAACTGAGTTCAGAGGTTGGACCCTGTCCAGGTTCCTCCCACCTTGACCGAATCAGCTGACCCATTGGAAATGGACTCCTTTCCTCAGACATATCTCCCGCCTTCCACTTAGCTCTCCAGGCTGCAGCTGGCAATCAATACCTGGGAGCAAGCAAGCTGCCAGTCTCCCCACCTTGGGCTGGGTTTGTTTTTTTTGTTTTGTTTGTTTTTTTAAGGCATCCCAAGCTGGCTGGGTTATACCAAACCTTATGTAGTGCACCCTTCCCCCGTTCGACAGGATGCTCCAATTCCCCCCAGCCTCAGATCCAGCTCAACTAATATTTATCAGTGCTTCCAATTCAAATAAGATGCTGGATATGAATGGTCAAAAAATACACACGTTTGTTCTTAAAGATCAGATCTAAGACAATGGTTTTTTTAAAAATTTTTAAGCAGCAGAACCCTTTCCCAGTGCCTTGCAGGACACCTGTGTCCCAAAGAGAGAAAAAACAGAGATGTTCTGTTTGAAGGAGAGGTTTCACTTCCTCTGTGTCTGTCTTGTCCCCATGATGGCTCTTGGGTCATCTCTTTAGCACCTTCAGCCTCCACAAAACCCACCTGGAAAACCCCTGGTCTGTGAGGTATCACAGCTGCTATTGTCAGACAATAAGTCCTGCCTGTTGTCTAACCACAGGTGACAGTGGCTCTAATCTTCTCTAGCTCTGTCCTCAGTTGAAAATGAGGCTGATCTGTGGCATAAGCCCACTTTCTCCCATGACACATGGGTCATGCTCAGCACATAGGCTTGTTTGCGGGAGCCTTTGGGAGATAACAGGGTTCACTTCTTGTGCTCCTTGGAAAAAACTCCACAAGCACTGGAAAAGAATAATTGGTGAGGTTCACTCACCCTGAGAGGCCAATCAAGAAGACATATAGCCTGGTTACAGTGGGATCACAGTGGGCAGCTGAGAGGGTAGCCACAGGGCCGTAACATTTCAGAAGGTCTGGTGAATGGATTGGCTGGGGTGGAAGAGGCAGACAGCTCAGCTAGTTTGCTCTGGGCTTTGTCCGAATCTGTTGAGAAAAAAGAACCGGGAGTCCTGGCTGCCCCACGTCAGCCCTTAGGACTCGCGGTTCATCATTCTCCTCAGAGTTTGCACCCCCCTCTCAGGACCCACTGGCCACAGCACCTGAGGATGTGGCAGATGAGCATCAGTGAATGATGTATCCCAGCCCTCTGGGCCCATCCCTACCAGGGGCAGCTCCGGGCAGCTCCAGGACAGGGAAAATGGTCTGGCTCCTATCCAGACCTCTCCACTGCCCAGGCCCCCACGAGAGATGGCTCCCAGCAGACAGAGATGTTAGTTTTCAGGTGTGTGTGTGTGTGGGGGGGC